CCTCCCCTCCCCTCCCATCCCCTCCCCTCCATCCACTGAATAGTCCACTCTTCAAACCTACATTTCTCCAATTTAGAGATAAGGATGTGGTGTGGGATCATGTCAAAGGCCTCGCACAAGTCCAGGTAAATGACATCGTTGCCTTTTCTTTGTCCACTGATGCCATCACTCCATCACAGAAGGCCAGACTGGTCAGGCACACAATCTTCCCTTGGTGAAACCATGCTGGCTGTCCCAGATCACCTGCTCATCCTCCATGTGTCTTAACATCTCTTCTGGGAGGAGTTGTTTCATGACCTTCCCAGACAGCAATGAGCCTGTAGTTCCCCAGGTCCTCCTTCCTTCCTATATTATAAATAGGAGTGATATTTCCCTTTTTCCAGTCACTGAGGACTTCACCTAACAGTCACATGATCATCAGGAACTTCTAATTTAATAGTTTCTCTGAACTTCACTGTCACAATACTTCTCTGTAGCCAACTTCTTATCAGGCAAAACCACACTCACAGAAACGCATCCTCTAGTTGCCTTCTGCCCTTTCTGTACTGATAGTGTCCCCACATCTACCAGGAGCTTGGCAAGCATTTTGCGTTGATTCACTTTCCAAAAATATCTGTGTTTTTAAATAACCTAATCCCCTCTCCTACACACACAAACACATATTTTGCTCTCGGTGATTTTGAAAGCTCAGAATGCAACTGACACTACCAAACCTATAAATCAGTTAATCTGCTGAGCTAGGATCTGGTTTCTCATGCACACTGGTTTCTCATGCTTTTTTTCTTTTTTTTTTTTTTTTTTTTTTTTTGCTGTTTTTAATTTTCTCTCCTTTCAATCATCACTTTCCATAGGCTTTCTTTTTTACATTACAATCTTCTGTATCTCACAGCAAGCATAAGCATCCTTGACAGACAGGACAACTCATCGTTGTCTGCCTGTGCTGCTGGTCATCTTCTATATCTGTATTTCAGACAAATACAGTTAAACCATTCTTTTGGTTAAGACTTCCCATTTACTGTCTATCTTACAGCAGCATGCAGAAGTTCAGCACAGCATCTAACTGCTCTCCCCAGGCTCCTTAGGACTGAGGTTAGCCCAGCTCGGTTAGTGGTGTCTGACCTCAAGAGAAGATACGTGACAGTACTCTCCAAGTTAACTGAAAGAAAAGTAGGACTCTAGGCAATGTCCATCTCCTCTTCATCATCCTTCACACATCCTCAAGTTTTCCATGGCAAACCCTTTTGGAGAAGCAAATGAGCAGTCATTGACAATCCATATGAAGGAGCTCTCAGGATAGAGAAGCTTTTGCTCAGTAATAATCTCCATCATAAAAGTCCCCCAAATCCTTGAATTCCACTCACATCTACTGCTGCCAGAGATTGCAAACAGATCAATAATACTTCTCAGTCTGAGACATATGAGACAGAGAGGGATTTAACATTGCTGCTACAGGTCAAGGGATAAAGCAAGTCACTGGTCATCCACACATGAGAATTTGTCAGGATATAACTAGGAAAAATGTAGATACTTAGATTGCAGGTACTGCAGTTCCCAAACCACAAAACATGCTCCTTTTCCTCCCCTCCCCCCAGGTTATCCATTTATGTGCTATGTGTGCCAAGAACAGGAGTCCAACAAGGACTGTTTAACCATTTCCATGTGTGCAAAGGAAGACAAATATTGTGTGACTGTCCGTGACAATGTTGGAACAAGTAAGTTACTGAACAACTCTTTATTTGTGCTGTAGGAAAAAGGAGTCCTATGAATTCATGCTAGTCACAGCCACGTATGAAAACAATAGACCCAGTCACCAATTGTGCTGCTCCCTATTGCAAACACTGCAGTGTCGCTTGATACTGTTATCAAGAGTTGGGGAAATGCTGACACCATGCACAGCAACACCAGTTAAACCATAATTCTGGTTAAAACTTCCTATTTATTGTCTATCTTAGAGTAATATGCCAAAGTCAACAGAGTATCTGACTACTCACCCCAGACTTTTCAAGGTCAAGCAAGACCAAGCTGCTGTAGATGTCCCCGTTCGTTACACAAGAGATGGACCAAATGACCTTTAAGGATTCCTTCTAGCTCAAATGATTCTGTGATTCTATGCTAATTTCACTTTAGAGACTGATACAACTTGGAGCCCAGAGAAGTCATTCCTCATATATTGGCAGTACTGACATGGCCAGTCTGCTCCTAGTCCTGAGAGGACATATTTGCCTTGGGGACCACTCCCTGGCTTCCTTTTTCTTAACAATCACCACTGCAGATTTAGCTAGGAAAGCATTATATCAATAATCCTTGCATTTTATTCTTTTTTTTTCCCCTTCTCCTCTTCATTAGACTCTGACAAGCCTAAATATGTCATCTCTAAGATGTGCTCTCCAACGTGTCCAGAAACAAGTCAGCAACAAAACCAAGCCCATCGGAATGTTTCATGCTGTGAGAAGCCATTGTGCAATGTGAATGGAGGCAGCAGCAAGCAGGGCAGCTATGCAGCGACCTTCCTGGGTGTCCTAGCTAGTATCACTTACATTTTTGCCTGTGGACAGTGATCGGTTAAGAAAAGCACCCTATGTTGGCATTATTGTCTGAAATAAAAGTGTGTTACACTGGGATAATTACTGCTCTCAAGAGCTCATGACTTGCAGATGAGCTTCGCTTGGGATTTTGAAGAGTCTCAGTAAGTTAAACGCTGAACTCCCATTGATTTCCTAATCCTACTTGAATCTGAAGTGTCTTCAGACAGTCATGTCATCTAAGAAAACACGTAAAAGACCCTTTTGACATGTTCAGGCTTCAAATAGTTCTGAAGATATTCTCGAAGATATACTTTTTTTTTGAGTTTTTGAACGCCATGTAGAATAGCAATCCAGAAACACACATAATAGTTCAATAGTTATGTCAGCCAGTGGAGAAGTTTAGTATCTTTTTCAGGTCACAATATGTTGGTTAACACACATCAGTTCATAAACAAGAAAGAAGAGGTAAATCTTATTTCTGGCAATTTCTGGAAATTCCTTCAGCCTCAATCGGCAACAATTTCTGGCTCCCATGGCTATTTGCACTTGGAAGGGTATCATGAGCATTTTTCATCTTCCAGCTCTGAAGTGCAAATGAGTTTGGAGAAAAGGAAAAGAGGAACAAATGTGACCTAAAGAGAAGATGTAATGTCTGGTAGTGGGGAGATGGGAGGGAGAAGGAAATGGTTTGGCATACACAGACCTGGTCCAGCTGGAAAAGAAAATGTCTCCATATCTATTTCCCTTTTTTTATTTTTTCAGGGCCAACCCAACCCAACAGTTATTGCCAAACCCAGTCATTTAGAGACTGTGAGATAGCTTTAAGAAAACCATGGCTTAGAAATGATTGATTGTGGTGGGCTTTGTTAGATTCTAGGCTCTTTGCTTCCTCCTCTCCCAGCAAGAGCTGCAGCTGAGGGAGGGAGAAAAGCTCTGTATGAGGCCTGAAGATGTCTACAGAGAAGAGGGGCAGGCAGCTAAAGACTAACATAAATAGCCCAGAGCTTCCTGGTCATAACCCCTGCTGCAAGCTCACTTCTCTGGAACGAAAATAAAAAAGGGAAGAGTTGGCAGCGACACTGGCTCAGCTGTGTTCTGACACCAGGACTCATCCAAACAATTCAGAGTCTTTGTTTTGTGGTTGTTGTGGTTTTTTTTTGTTTTTTTTTTTGTTTTTTTTTCCTTTTATGAGATGCTTTATTTGATGGCTAAATGAGATCTTTCATGAGATGATTTGTCTAAAGCATTGTCTTGAAAGTCAGCATATTTTTGGCTGCAAATCTGGAAGGATCCATTGCTGGTGCTGGCAATAGGATCTTGGTTTCCATAACCATGGGACTCAGTAAGATCGACAATTAATTGTAAGAGATGGAATCAACCTCAGAAAGTGGGGAACACGCATCCTTGCCAGTCTGGCCAATCTGGTAAGGAATAATTTAAGCTAGGAAGGAGGAAGGAATAGGAGAGTTACAGAGAGCACCCAGATAGCAAATCAAGGCTGAAGTGTGGATATACCTCCATCAAGTGCTGGATTAAAGAGCAGACTAACAAGGGTGACACTGTTGTAGGTGTTTGCTATGGGCTACTTGATCAGGTAGAGGAAGTAGGTGAGGCCTTTCACAGTGGAGTTCTGTATTCTTTGGGGGGAAAGCAGGGTAATAAGTAGAACTGCAAAAGTGGATTTCAGGAGAGCCAACTTTGGCCTCTTCAGGGATCTTCTTGAATGAATGCTATGAGAAGAGTCCCTAGAAGGAATAGAGATCCAAGGTTAATATTCAAGGATCACATCCCATAGGCTAAAGAATGATGCATCTCCATGGGCAAGAAATCAAGCAGAGTGAACAGAAAACCCGCATGGATGAACGAAGCATTCCTGACAAAACTCAAACACAGACAGGAGGAGGTGTGTAGGGAGTGGAAGCAGGGACAGGCCATTCAGGATAGAATATAGGGATATTGTCAGAGTAGGCAGAAATGTGATAAGAAAGGCCTGGGCCCATTTGCAATTAAATCTGGCTAGGGATGTCAAGGACAACAAGAAGGGCTTCTTCAAATGAAGCAGCAACAAAAGGAAAACTAAAGAAAATATGGGTCCACTGCAGAATGAGGCAGGAAAACTGGCAACAGAGGATGAACGAAATGCAGAGATACTGAAGGACTTCTTTGCTTCAGTCTTCACTACCAAGATCAGCATGAAGGAATCTCTGATTCAGGAGACCAGGGAGAAATTCCGGAGAGAGGAAGGCTTTCTCTTGGTTGAGGAGGACTGGGTTAGAAATCATTTAGGCAAATTTGACGTCCGTATATCTTTGGATCCTGATGGGATGCAACCACAAGTACCAGGGGAGATGGTGGACATCATGGTTAATCATCTTTGAAAGGTCTTGGCAATCAGGAGAGGTGCCTGAAGACTGGAAGAAAGCAAATATCATAAAGCAAATATCATCCCAGTCTTAAACAAGGGCAAGGACGATCCAGGAAACTACAGGCAAGTCAGCCTCACATCAGTTCCTGGGAAAGTGATGGAATAGCTTATCCTGGAGGCTGTCTCAAAGCATGTGGAAGACTAGAAGGATTCAGCAAAGGGATATGCTACACTAGCCTATTGTCTTTTGTGATGGGACAACAGGCTGGATGAGGGGAGAGCAGTGGATGTTGTCTACTGGGATGTCAGCAAGACAATAATTTCCCATGATACCTTCATAGGCAAGCTCAGGAATGTGGGCTGGATGGTGAGGTGGATTGAGAATGGCAGGTCTCAGAGGGTTGTGATCAGTAGCACAGAGTCTTTTGGAGGCCAGTAGCTAGCAGTATCCCCTGGGGTCAACACTGGTTCCAATATTAAGTCATTTATCAATGATTTTGGTGAAACCTCCCCTGAAAGTTTGCTGATGAAACAAAACTGGGAGGAGTGGCTGATGCCCCAGAGTTCTGTGCTGCTATATGGAAGGATTTTGACAGGCTGGAGAGATGGGCAGAGAAGAACCTCTTACAATTCAACAAAGGCAAGTGCAAGGCCCTGCTCTTGGTGAGGAATAGCCCTATGCACCAATACAGCTGGAGGTAGACCTGATGGAAAGTAACTCTTCAGAGAAGGACCTGGGAACCCTGGTGGACAAAAAGTTGGCCATAAGCCCCCAACAAGGGAAACTGGACTAGATGATCTCCAGAGGTCCCTTCCGACCACAACCATTTTGTGATTCTGTGATTTTTGAGATGTTTTACACTGCCAGGATAGAAAGCAACTGGTTTCTTTCCAGTACTTAAAAGGTGCTTACAATCAGGAGGGAGACTGACTTCTTATATACTTTGATAGTGATAAAACAAGGAGGAATCATTTTAAACTAAGTGAGGGTAAATTTATATTAGGTGTGAGGGGAAAATCTTTCACTCAGAGGTTGGTGAGGTGCTGGAAGATGCTGCCCATAGAAGTTGTGGATGCCTCATCCTGGGAGGCATACAAGGCCAAGTTGGATGAGGTTCTGGGCAGCCTGATCTGGTGCTTGACCTAGTGGTTGGCTCATGGCAGGGGATTTGGAACTAGATGATCTTTAAGGTCCCTTCCAACCCAAACCCATTCTATGGTTCTATGACCAGCTAAAGATGCCCACCTTTCGTGTTTCCACTGTGATCTCTAGAGCCTGGTTCCTGCCCCGTGCTTTAGATATTTCATTCTATGTCTGGGAGGGAAATGATTCTGCCAAGGAAAGGAACTGGCAGCAATGTTACAGCCTATGGTGACCATGCTGCTTCTTGAAACCATAAACACGTGCACCACAAATACCCTATGCAGAGAAAATGGAAGGCACTTCTTCCAAGACATCCCTGCAATACATTAGATGCTCTCCAAAAACTCTAGGAAAGCTGGGCTCAGGGCCAGAGCTATTTACTGTCTTTAGCATCAGACAAGTTAGCACAGGAAAGGGGAAGCAGGAGTAATTTATGCCTCAACCAGTTTCACTGAATGGGAGAAAGCAAAGCAAAGTCAGCTGGTGGGGAGGGAAGGAGTCAAAGATTGAGAAAAGTACAGTGAGACTGGCAGTGTGAGGGGCAGAATCAAGTTACCTTCCTTTTAGCTTCACCACACACCCTGCCTGCTGATAGCACCCAAACAAATATTATCTCTAACAAGACAAAATGAACAGAGGAGTTCCTATGTCTCCCTGTCTCCAAATTCAGAGGGAACCCCTTCCTTTCTTGAAATTTTTGGATTCCAGAACACCTGGATGTACAAGGATTATGGCGATTGTGGGTGAAATGCCTTCAGATTTTCACTATTTTAAGAATTTTTTTTAAAGGGATTTACCTGTTTCATTGCCAGTCATGCCAGTATCCACTCAGCTCCCAGACTGAAAGCCTGCAGTTGTGAATCAGAAGCTGAATGTCTCTCAATAGTAACTACTCAGGTAGGCATTATCACTAGACTTTGTCAAAGCTGATGCTCTGAGTCACTGAAATTCCTTGAGAGAAATAAAGAAGAAAAGGGACACTTAGAGTCATAGAAATGAGTTGGAAAGGACCCTTGTGAATCATCCAGTCCAATTCTCCTGCAATGAACAGAAACACCTACAGCTAGATCAGGTTGCTCAGAGCCCCTGAGTCTGACCTTCAATGTCTCAAGGATGGATAATCCACCACATCTCTGTCCTTCTTGCTTGGGCATAAGCCATGAGTTATATGTTGTTTGGATAAGGTCCAAGCTCATCTTCACACTGGTAACAACCTTTCCTGGGCCGGAGAAAGGTGTAGATCACAGATATGGGTTCCTATGGCCCAGGAGTTTGGGCACAGACTGACAAATCACCTTTTCTTCCATGGGAAGAATCAAATTTGCCTTTTCCAATGAAGCAACAATGCATGGTCATACCCAGGATTGTACTACTGGTGATCTCCAGCATTAACTGCATTTGTTGGCAGCAGACATCCAGATGATGCTTAGAGATGCTTCTTTAGCATAAGATCTGTTCTGGGAGCAGACACTTAGATGATGCTTAGAGGTGCTCCTGTTCTGCAGTCCCACAACAACTTTGAGTTCCACACCCAGAGTTGGGAGATGTGTTTTTGCTTCCAGCCTGCAGTAGATGCAGGGTAAAAGGGAAGGTGGGTGGAGACAGCAACCACATCTAATACATGTTAATTATGTGCCAACCAGCACATCAAAACCCAGAACATGAAAATGAAGCAGGCCACAAAAAGAAAAGGTTGTCTTCTCCATATGCACATCAGTAAGGGGTATTAACCAAAATAAGTGGTGACTAGGCACAGAGGAAAAGAAATCTTGCACATCATAGCAACCAAGCTTGTTTCACCTGCTCCTTTTTCTTTAGGGTGGGAAACCAAGGATTCCCAAATGCAGTGTGCATTGTTATAAAGAAGATGTGAAAACCATGGGGAAATACTTAGTAGTCAGTCCAGGAAAGAAAACTGAAATAAAATGTCTAACAACTTGTAATGGTGCAGGGGCTATCAAGGAGATGGCAATGAACAGCAAGAGCTTTGTGACAGATGGGTGTTATTCCCACCTGTGACGAGGTGGAAAAATCTGTAGATAAGGTAAAATTGGTACTTATCACATATTTTAGTTTTAATACAGCTTCTTCCACAATAGCATATGACAGCCTCATAAGGAAACTAGTTAAAAGCACAAGCAAATAACTGTCAATGGCTTGCTGTCAGACAAGAGGGATGTATTAAATGGGATCCTCTGCAGCTTGCCATGGTTCTGCTATGATGCAATATTTTAATTACCAGTTTGACAGACAGAATAGAGAATAAATAGATTGAGCTTGCAGGTGACACACTAGGAGAATCTGAGAAAAAGGATGAAATCTGCACAGGGCAAGCATAAAGCTCTACTGTTACTGTGAACACATCATCTGCACAAATATAGGATGAGGAAATACCTCTTCCGATAATTTGGCAGAAAAAGAAGTTGCAGTTACAATAGATCATGCACTTAGCATCTCTCATACTTGGGGAAACAACAAAAAATGGCATTGTTGGAACTCTACATCTATTGAAAAGTTGCACACTTCACATGGGGCAATGTAAACTGGAGTTTGATGGGATGAGATCCTTCCAATCTCTTCCCCAGTGGGAAAGCTTGAGCTGCTGCATTCTTTCCACTTTCTGCTTTAGGG